TTTTTCCATCGACCCTACAAATTTATAGGGTTTGGGTGCGTAGGGTATATGTACCTGCAAAACAAAACACATACTACGGACCACTCTCCATCACCAGCGATATATCGACACCGGACGGTCCGAGCCTTTTTCACCATTCTCAGCTGGTGTGATCTCCATGGCTATTAGCGACACCCAAATGGCGCGCCTTCGCTCCAAACACGCTGTTTGTATACACAAACGTTGTGGCTGTCGATGGCTGTTTTTGATCTCTTCCAGACAATTCTTGCGTTTGCCGCACTTGACCTACGTGTTCAGCCTCGTGCTTTCATGTCCAGCCATGAGGCTTTGGCAGCCGTTCTCAACGCTCTTGTCGCTCCAATCATCTACTGTAATCGTTTCTACTAGATGCTACTAGTACATCGTGGTAGTGAAGCCAAGCTACGGCAAGAATCTCATAATGTGAGTCCATCCACTTCATTCCTCATCCACCAACCAGTTTCCTCTCTGTGGTTTCACTCTTAAACCGTTCCAATCAGCATGACCGTCTCAGGCGCCGCGCAGCGCCCGCGCAGCGCGCGCAGAGCGCAGCGTCCGCGCGCGGTGACCCCTGACTGACTCAGCTCGCTCCTGAGCTGCCCGACTCGAGCTTCACAGCATTCTGGGTGCCAAACCTTGTGAGCCAGGTCGCAGGGTATTCTGGCGCAAGGACCAGACTGGTCGGTGAAACACCGACCGTGCGACCGGCGCACCGACCGTGCGACCAAGACTGGATGAATCATCCCGGAATTGAGACGCAATTGAGACTCAACTGAGACAGATCAGATCATCCATCCGAAATCCAGCCAGATCGAGTTGTCGATCAAGCCAGATCGAGATCCTAAGCTTCTGACACTTCCTTCCACAGAAATCGACCAGATTTCGGATCCAAGCCTCGTCCCGCGCAGCGGCGACGGAGACGCCCGCAACGACCGTTCTTCCGCAAACCAAGCGCGTCCGTTGTGGGCGATACAGGCATACGGACGATACAGGAACTCTCGCTTTGGAGATCGTTTCATTTCGATCGTTGTTTCATGATCGAACTCCCGGCACAGTGACAGCGATCAGAGGCTCATCATGTGAGGCTCATCATGTCCTGCTTTTCTACATCGTTTAGGGTGAAAGTCGTTAAGCGTCACATGGCATGTTTTTTTACTCGCTTACAAATCAACCCGGCTAACACGGTTTGCGTGGAAAGAACCATGGAGCATTCAGTTCCTTACGCCGTACAATCCCCGGAATTACCATAGAAGTGGAAAATGGCTGCTTGGATTCTTGGATGACGACCATTTTGCTGTACTGGAAATATTATTCCAGGAAGTGTACATCGGTAATACTGTATGTTTTAAGTGTTTCCAATGCTTTTCCTGTGTATGTATGGCTTTGCGAGTGTGGCTTGGCTCATTGCGTCCACTTGAATCATCCAAGCACGTCACACATCTTCATCACAAAAGTAGCATTGATGAAGTCACCACGAAATGCGACGTGTTCTTTTTGTTATGGTTCTTGTTCTTGCTCTTCTTCTTGTTGTTGTTCTTGTTATCGTTCTGTTCTTGTTTGTGGTTGTGACTGCCTTATTCTTCTTGAGATTCACGTGATGGATGAAGACCTGAGCTCTCAGACATCTCTTGAACCTCTCTTCCAAAGCCTTCTGCGCCTGAAGACCTGAGTCGTCAGCGTCAGCCGTCGTCAGCGCCGTGCGAGCCAAGCGGGAGGACTGATCAGTGGCGAATGCGAGCCAAGCCGCTCCGTTGCGAAGGGAGGGATCCAAACATCCTTTCTGTTGTTTGCTTGTGTATTCTTTGTTTGATTTTTGATATATAGCTATTTTGATGGTTGTTTTATTGTGTCCTATTTTGATGGTTTCTATGATTGATCTTGCTTGGATTCTTTGTTTGTAGTGTTTGTTTGGTTGCGCTGCTCTAAGGGCTCCAAGCCCCAAGGCCAGTGATTCCGGCTGCAAACAAAACAGGGGTGAACACATAGGATGGTGATCTATGGTGATCTGATCTTTGTTCATCGTCGAGTGGTCGATCTGATCCAAATACCAGTGATACAATATATCAACATGCAGTGATTGATCTGATAACATCTCAAATCCGACATCAGGAAGCCCCTTAGATCCTTTTAGTGATTCAATTGTGCAGTAGTTACTCCAAACGACCTATTGTTCAAAATATTGTTTGCCTGTTGTGGTTTACGTGAGGTCAAAGTCTACAAATGTATACAAATATCGTCTAAGCCTAAGTCATCTAAGTATATCCCAAACCCTTTGAATGGCCAGAAATCACAGGACATCACGACCCACGCTGGCCCAAACCCTCCAAAAAAAAAGCCCAACGACTTACAAAAACACACCATTCTTCTACCAGGAATCCCGCAGTTCTCCCAACTCTCTGGCTCCACCCCCCCTCACCCCCACGTATCCTCAGCTCTTCCCCCGGTCCACCGCGGTCACCGCGGTCACCCGAACGACCGTCGCCAGGAGGCCGAAGCGCTTCAGTCCCCAGGAGCGCAGAGAGGTGACCTCGGTTGGGACGGTCGAGTGAGCCAAATGGCTTCTGATCCATGATGGATAGAACATGTCGATAGTCTGTCTTCCATGATAAGACGATCTTGAAGTCTTCATTCATCTCTTCAAGACATGTCTGGAACATATATACCATATATATATAGCTCCCTAGTATACCCTGGTATACCCTAGTGCTGTAGTAAAGCACCATTTACTTGAACAACTAAACAACCATTGATTTACATTCAAGTCTTTGACGCTTAAAGCCAAATCAACCCTTTGTAAAATTGTCTTGGACTTCCAAGGTATATCATGTAGCCAGATGGTGGTATATATGGAATGCATCTATGCCGCCCCATTGAACCCGGGTGAACCACAGTCCTATGGATCGTCCTGTCTGGGGGAGGCGTCTGTTGTTTCGGAGGCGCGAACGACCGGCGTTGTTTCGGAGGCGCGTCGCTTAGGAGTTTGACATTGTTTGTCCGTGGCCTTGGGGGCCGACGGCGCTTCAACTACGAAACACCAGCAAGATCAAGCTGTTCTACCCTGGTTTCGTCCAGTCGACCAGGTTTTTGTCCGGTCCGCCTAGGCCTAGGTGATCCGAAAAGGAACTTCCTTTACTTGGGCGGTGCCAAGTCTTTGGACTTCAGCCTCGGGTGTATTGGCTGATGTCTGGACGACACGCCCCCCCGCACCCCTACAACGCCTTTCTTCTTCGTGGATGGTATCGGAAGTTCTGTGAAGAAGGTGCAGTTCTTCATCTTTCTTCATGTTTGAAAGAGTCTTCTTCATGGTACGAGTAAGTGGAACCTTGCTTAAATGGAACCATGATTCATGTGTTTTCGTACGTATCACGAATCACCTCTAGGACGCTGGTGATGTTTGAGTGGTGTCGTTCCCACGAAATAGCCCTACGTGTTCACGCCTTAGTGAAAAACAGCACAGTCTAGACCGTGCTCCCACTGAAAAAAAGAAGAAAAACATCACTCCCGGCGTGCTTTTGATGCGCATGTTTTGGATCCGCCCCTGAGACGGTGGAGGTGGCAATCACAGAGAGCAAAAGATCTAATGTGTCTTTCGATAGACGCGATATCCAAAGACGGTAGACATGAAAGATGGATCAAGATGGGCAATCATGTCGACATGTCTAATTGGAACACCTGAGGACACCTGTCACCCCTGACATCTAGTTTGGCATTCACCTCAAAAAGAATGTCGTACAATATGTCTTGCACGACAAGAAACAACATACACACTCCCTGAATCTTTAAACAAATCAGCTTGGATCCGGACCAAGCTGGGTTCGAAGACAATTCCTCTAAAGTCAAACCAGTTTGCTGCGTTCAACTGAGGGGTCCAGCCCTTTTGAGAACTTACTCTGTCTCAAACCAACATGGAAGTGGTGAACAACCCCCCTGTTTGTTGAGGAAAATGGTCTTCCAAGGCATTACAAACATGGCGTGGCACATGCCCAAACACAAACTCTCTGATTGCCACATGTCCAGCCACCATGCTTGGAAAATCTTCATCAGAGTGTCAGCAAAAACTTGAAAATACTGACACAACTGATAAAGAGTCGAGAGTGTTTGGCCCATGATGCGATCTGATCGCCACCTTGCCTTTGCACACCAACCAATGTGTATATACTTAGATTCTTAGATGATCTTACATGTGTTCGTGTGATCGTCATGATGAGGATCTTTCTTGAAACATAGTCAGGTGGCACCTAGGCAAGCTGCCATCTAATGGCAGACATCATTGGGATCAAGCATGGCTTCAGGTACCTTCCAAATCCTTCCAAACAACTTTTTATATAAACACGTCCGTGAGTGGCACCGCCCAAAAGGATAACTTCACATCAAGCAAAGGTGCCTGGCTCTTTACAGCATCGATCTCAGCGACAGCATCTGCGCCATCTGCGCAAGACGTGCCGCAACCCGATGAGCGCGGATCCTCCGCGCGGTGCCTCTGCGCGGGTCCGCGTGGGCCTGATCTGCTTGTGCAGACCCGGCTCCTCGACCGGAAGCCCCGGTGACACCCCGGGGACCGGGTCTCTGTGCGAATGTGGCACTGCTCGTGAGTAGCCACAGGTCGTGACCTTCCATGAATTGCCTTGGGCAAATCCGCCTCGGGAGGAATCCTCCACACATGCGGAGATACATCACCGTGTCATGCTAAATAAAACTCTGCCGACTTCACAAAAGTCGTGTGCAATCTTGCTGTGACATCATGATGATCAGATTTAAATATATTTAAATACGATATGAAAACAAACAAAAACACACTTACGACGTCTACCACCACCCCATATCGGTATCCTTTTGCCGTTCAGTCAAGTCATGGAGAGTCTGTCCTACAGGAGACGACGTGTCTTGTCGTCGTCTCGCGTCGTCGTCGTCTACTCCAGAGCGGCGAGCCCGCCTCGTCTGAGGGGGAGCGCTTCAGAGAGTATGAGCTGTTTGGAGTGCCCGGTTATAGCCTGCAAGGCCAGGGCTGGGGCGAGGCCAGGGCTGTTCTGAAAGTTGAAGAATGCATTGAGGATCAAACCACGCAAGTCGCAAAGGGGTGCCGAACTTGGAGGATAGGGATGCCCACTATCCACTCACCACCACTTTGTGACTCCCGGTATGAGGCTCTGTTTCAATTTTCATATCATCGGCGCGGGAAGAAGAACCTCGATGTGGATGGAAGCCACAGTGAAGTCACAGTCTAAGACGGCTGCATTTTGTCAATGTCCTCACATTGGTAGTGAAAACCAGCCCAAAGGGTCATGCCTGGCAAAGGGACCACCGACTTCCTGTAGCAAGCCACATGCCAGAAGGTCTTTGCACAGGTCTTCAGCGGTCTTCAAAAAGGGGCCCAAAAATGCCGCCTCCTCCCCGAACCATTGAAGATTGACCTACGGTGATTCTAAGATGCTTTAAGGGACAACATGTAGATACGGTACACAGATTTTCTACGCGGATGGTCTGGGATGGTTCAAAATGAAAAGAACTATATAAATCAAACTACCCCCTGGGAGTCAAAGACTATAAAAAGAATGGTCTTTAGGGGAACTGAAAGGGAACTTCCTTTACTTCAGCCGGTCAAAATATAGTCTTTGGACTTCTAGGGTACCAGCAAGAATCATCACGAACGAGTCCGGAGAGTTTTGTCCAGGCTTGACGACACCGGTTTGCTTATGCTTTCGACACCGGTCGAGGATCCTGGCCTTCACGGAAGTGATCGGCTGCCGCCTTAGTGATAGGCTTGTTTGCGGGTTCTCGCATGCTCTTTCCACAGCTCGTACGTGCAATGCCAAGCAGTTCATGTATTGAACATGTGTCATAATGTGTCATATTGGCCAGTTAGGAGCGAACACGACAAAACTAAGGTCTCTCTTCCATGCCATCTCATGGCTGTTTCGGCATGGTATGGCCCATGGCTCGCCCATCTCATCCGCAGCTGGGACTCCAGACCGCCAGTTCCGGGCCATAAGTCGGACAAAGAGAGAGCTTCTTCACCAACTGTCGAGCTGGACATGTCGGAACCACCCATGTCTGGGACGATTCCCATGGGGCTGTGACTTGTATACTATACCATACTATACCCAGACACGACGATCCATGGGACTGCCAGGACGGACTGCCGAGACACGGCCAGGGGTGGTTGACTGGGGGTCAATGTAGGCATATGTGGCATCATGGAGTGTCTGGGACTCTTTTTCTATATTTTGGAAGTTTGTTTATGACACGTTGGGGTAGTTGAAAAAGGGTCAAACGGGTCAATGTTTAATCTCTAGATTTCCATGCATGGAGTGTCTGCTGCGTTTGAGGAAAACCAATCATCCACCTTCTCCATGGCTGGTCCATGAGTCCGTGGCCGCCCTGCAAACCCGCCCCAAAAACATCCATCTGAGGTAGACTCCACACACCAATTGATTCTTGCAGTGCCCGAGAGTGCTGTGCTCTCTGAAGACCGACCCCCGCATCTGACAGCTGATGCGACCGAGAAAACACGCGAAGATTTTCAGAAAAACGCGTGGAGTGCGGCTTTTCGGAACCACGTCGAAGGTCGACCGTTCTTCGCCGGAACTGGCGGATCGGTTGCTTGATCGGTGAACTATATGGGGACCGCGAGGTCAACCTTAGCTTGGTGGGGGAGGTTGCTGGACTCACGGGACCCTAAAAAGGTCTCTCATATCGATTCTCATTGGATGACTTGCCCCATACTTGCCCCTCCCCCGTACAATGCTGTGGTGGTTCAAGCAAACGTCTAAGAGTCCAAAACAAGGAAAAGCACGTGGTCCCCCTCCCACAACACAATGCCGCCGGTACGACCGCCGGTCCGGTCCGGGTCCCGGTCCCCGGTCCGTCCGGCTCCGACCGAACGGTGCGGCCAAAGCCTGACACAGGCGCTCCACGTCGGTCTTGTCCGTCTTGTTTCCCATGCCCCCCAAGTCGATCAGGGTCACTTGTTGCGTCTCCTCTGAAGAGGCGTTGAGTCCCACGGACACGCAGGGCAGGGCGCATTTGGGGGGCCCGATGAGGGGTGATGTGCTGGGGAGTCTGCAGCGCCCAAGCAAGTCTATTCCCTTCCAATTGCATCATTGAAAGCCATAAAGGGTTTGTGCCTCTGATGTGGACGTGGAAGGTCACAGGCTTAACTTGTGGGGGCTTGAGGTACCTGTCTTTGTGGATATGGAAAGATATGTTGGAGTGTTTTTTGTAACTAAGATGCCGGTACAATCAGATCACCAGGACATCAAACGCATTTAACGTATGAAACAGGGTGATGCTCGCACAACTGGCTATATGCTCATACATGTCAGTATATTTTTTAGAAATTCAAAGAGACAGAGAGAGAGAGAGAGAGAGAGTCAAATCAGAAAAATGATGAACAACTATAACTGGAGAGGAACTCTGAGAAAAAAGTGCTCTTTACAGTTACTTTAGAGATCTCTTTGACTTTCGATATCTTTCGATCTCTCTTGGCTCAGTTCGGGTATCGCACGCTTCATCTCAAGATGTCCCACGCTTCTCTCCTCGTCGTAGAGGACATTCTGGGTTCCGGCATCATTGTGCTGCCGTCCACCGTACCGCCTTTCGGCTGTGTCCAGCGGTGGATCGCGTCGACCGGGAGGTCGGAGGATGGCTTCCAACAAGGCCAGGGGGGCCATCTGACAGGGGAAAATTTGGTTGAGATGCGAGAGATAGTACTATACTAAGTGTCTGATACGAAGTGGGAACCAACATTGTATTTGTCTAATAACCAAACATGTGCTCTTTGGTTGGTGCCGTTCTATCAATTTAGCCTGTTGTCGCCGTAGGTTTGGTGTATTATTCCCTCTCTCCATCCCGTTCATAGCCTTGGGCCTTGAGAGTGTTTGAATATTGCTCAGGCCCTATTTGCAGGGCCCAGGGATGGGACTTCTTGATCATCGTTGCATCCTGTAAACATTCTGTAGAGTTTTGGGTGTGTCATGGAATGTCTATCTGAATAATCTGAATACTTTCACTGAAAGCAAATATTCCAGATTCGTCCCTTGCCCTCAGATTGGTTGCTGTTCCATCTTCCCTAAGCCTATAAAAACAGGCGCATCTAAACTCTCTTCAAATCCCCAGTCTGTGCCTGTGGAAACGTGCAAAGCACTCCCCCACTTGCGAGAAGATCTTCATGATGTCGCCCTTGCGATTGGTCCTCCACGCATACCAAACCGAACATCCACACATTTGGACCCTATACCTTGCCTATAGGCAGGGCTCTCTTCACAAACAACTTTCATCGACAGACCATGGCCAGGAGGACAAACACCAGAAATGGCCACGGCCATTTGAAGGGCAGCAAACAACTGAACGCAAACACTCCAAGAGAGGTAGCCAGTGACCTGACAAAGGACCCTGCTGTGGTACCGCACTGGGATAGTCGAACAGTCGAGTTCTTCAACCCCTGTTGGCTTGACACCTACACCGTCCAAATCCATTGTTCCACTGGCTCGTGGCTCGCCCACCGAGGTCCACCAAGTCGCAAAAGGCCCATGTCTCATCTCGAGAACGGGGAGGACGAAACTGCGTCATCTCTTGGTTAACAAACAATTCCATACCCAAACACTCCATGGGACTTATACCCAAACTTATACCAAATTGAATTGTAAAACCTTCTACCCAAACACGACTCATGGGACCTGCCAGGACGGACTGCCGATGTTTTGGCCAGGGGGTGGTGGACTGGGGGGGGGGTCTGTCTGGGGCGGCAGTCCGGACTGGCAGTCCCAGACAGGTCGTGTTTGGGGACAAAAGAACCACCACCGACGCCAACCTGGCGCCGCGTCTCCGTGGTCTTCTGATGTTCGTCGTCGGTCTCACACGGTCTGGTCCGTCTGGACCGTCGCGACCCGGTGGCACAGGCCCAACCGTCTGCCGTCGACGCTCCGCCGCGCGGCGCTCGTCCGAGTCGCCCGCGCAGCGTTCCGTGTCGCGTTACGACTCGTGCGTGATGTCAGCGCAGGATGCCGTGCGTGAGCTGGTCCTCCACTTCTCGGAGATGATGATCTCCAAGGACTTCCCGGGAGCCCGGCGCATCACGATGAGATCCTCGGCAGTTTTGGTTGCGGATCTCACTCTGAGGTTTCGAAGTCATTGCGTGAATGTTTTTGTGAAGATCTGGTTCCCATTCAAAAGTATATCGGATAATTAGGGTTGCTTCATGCTTCTCCCTGGTCAGAGAGGACAAGAAGGTAACACTGCATGGTTTTTCTGGCCCACAAATTCACATACCAACAACCAAAATATAGGCCCCATCTCCCATGCATGCCACTGATGATGGGGTGCTACAACACTAACACTACAAAAACCTACAAAAACTGTCCTTTGCTGCAAATGATCGGACTCATCATTGTCTAGACGCAGCTTGCTGCATGCCCCAGAGTGCCCCAGGAGGTGCCCCGATCGGATCAGCACCGATTTGTTGTAAGTTTGGGGCAAAAAAAACGGAAAAGGAACGACTGTCTCCCGCAAAACGCAGCGATTCTTCCGCTCTTGCGCAGCGATTCTTCTGTCTCCTGGTACGATCGTCATACAACGTCAGGGGCGTATACACCCACTGGTGGCGACTCCTGGTCTGTGGATGGCCCGCACGGCCCTGTTCCAGGGTGTTCCTTTTGCCCAATACCGAACTCTACGTCCCCATGATGAGTCCAGGGAGTGTAAGTCACAAGACATATCACGTATATAGTCAAGGTATAGTTCTCTAGTTCCAACAATGGTTTCCAGATAGATAGTCTAGTTCCAACTTGACCCACTAGACACCAGGCGAAGCTGGACTTGCGCTGACCGCGCGTAGTATACCGGTCAGTGCGCATGCGCCGCATGCGCCGCGTCAGCGGGCGCGACCAAGCGTCGTGGCGCCGCACATTGTTGGGACCAAGCAGTCTGAAGACCTTTGTGGGGAAGGCCACACTGGGATCCTCCGCAATGTGAGGGATCTCCTGGCGGAGACAGAACACGAAGCACAGAACAAGGATAGAACACGCAGATCTGTTGGAGTTCCTCAAACACATGCATTTCCCTATACTAAAACCTGGTCTTTGACCTCCCTGGGGTCGTGTTTTTGTATGACCAACTCCAGTACAATGAGGTCATTGACTTGTAGGGCTGGCTCAGCCATCTCATTGCTTTAAAGGGTCACGCACCCTCTGTGTTTTCTTGTGCCGAGCCCCATCCCAGCATGATGCTGGATGGGATGTGCCATCTGAAAAAACTGGGCTTCATCCCATCACCAGCCATGGGAAAACATGTGAACACATGGTGACGACATGAAGTGATTGAAGTGATAGTTAGTACCCACGCTTTCACGGCGCCCCAGTGTCCCTGCCTAGGTGCTAGGCCTGTTAGGCTCGCAGATGGTGTTACACTGGCCCCCCCACATCGGTGAAACCAAAAGGCTCCTGGTAGAGCTTTGAAAACATCCGTTCCTCAATCAACTGCGGCGGAGCAAACCTGGCAGGTTCGGCAGGTGAAGGTCGCAGAAGGTTTGGCACCGAACAAGCGGCACTCTCCCTCTCTCTCTCTCTCTGTCAGTCTGTCTGTGTGTGGGTGTCCACCTCTGTCTCTCTCTCTCTCTCTCTCTGTATGTCTCTGTCTGTCTGTGTCTGTCTGCGTCTGTCTCTGTATGTATCTGTCTGTCTGTCTCTGTCTCCCTGTGAAAACAAAGTAGAACACCCCCAAAACCTTTCAAAACCCTTTGAATTGTCCAATTTCAGCATCCGCATCTGCTGATTATTCAAAGAAGAGTAGAGCCGCAAAAAGAGTAGAACCGCGTGGAACTCTGGAGACTCAAGAACTTGGCAAGACGAAGCCCTTCCCGATCTCGTCCCTTGCCGAACAGACTGGCATGTTCTGAAGACCGAGGTTTTCACCTCCACAGCCTTCGACTGGGTCCGCTCCCCAACACTCGTCTCCACTGGAACGAAACAAGGTGACCGAGTCACTCAAAGGCTTCAGGTTGATGACCCACCTGCCCCCCCAATGTGCTGGGCAAATACGAAGACCCGACCTCACCAAGTTTAGCCCCCAAAACGGCCAAGGCATCGTCCCAAAAACACCACAAAGAGAATGCATCAGAGTGCCGTCAAGGCCTGGTTGAAGGGCCATCCCCCAAGCCGCGAAGTGGCCCGCCCCAAAAGCAGGACCGTCCCTCGATGGGCCATCCTTCGACGGTTCGGCCTATCGTACTTCACCAACTTCAACACCAAGTTCTGGCCTCGGCGAAAGTGGGGAGCGCGGTCGAGGCGAAAGAAGACGTGCGGACAGTGTGGAAGACTTGGATCTCCAAAAGTACGAGCGAAAAGTACAACGGCCGAGATGAAAGGACCTGCGCACTGACTCCTCTTCTATTGAGACATTAACGTCGTTCGAACGTAGAATGGGTGTGAGAAAGTTTCTCAGCTCATCTCTTGCAGCCCCTCTTCTCAGCTCACTTGGGCGCCAGCTGCTGCTTTTCATGAACCAAATACCTTGCTGGTGTTCTGATCGGCTCAAAAAGAAACACCACCCGAATGGGCACGGCTATGCATGGCTACGCTTCTCCCACCCAAGCCACACTCTCATGTTCATCCCCCCCCCCAAAAGGTTCGCCACTCAGTGATCCCAGTGGTCTGGGCTGCCAAAAAGGGACAAGAACCAGGGACGTCAACGTGTTTGATATTCAACATCTTCCATACAGCATGGCCAACTCAACAACTTGTCCTACTAAGGCAGCTCACAACGAACACCCCGGAATCGGTCCAATGGACGGAAGACGCCGTCAAAACGGCCCACCCCGCCCGCCGCTGACGCCTCGTCCTTCGCCCAGGCGCCCTCATTGAGCCCTCCGTGGAAGCCGCGCATCGCCTCGAAGCGCGCGTCCGAGGCCTTTGGGTCCGCGCCCAGGGCACTCAGCAGCGGCGCGCGGAGCGCCGGCAGGTTGGGGTCGAAGGGCCAAAAGCCCAAAGCCATATCTCCTCAGTGGAGATAGATCAAACATGATCAAGCTGATTCTATATGGATGGATGGAGTAAACTGGGGAAGACATAGAGCCACAGGATGTGGAACACCATCATGTTGATAAAGGTGTTGTACAATCATTTCGGAGTTGTGCTTTTGGATCACCACCTCGGCGATGTCCTAAAAGCATAGAAAAGCAGGCAGGACCAGCAAAAGGGTCGAACAATTAATTACGTCAGGCTTGAACAAGTGCCTACACAACCTTAGCCAACTCAGAAAATGGTTTGTGCCATCTGTGCCAAATGGTCTTGTGACACAGCCTTGACTCAGCATTTCAACATGTTTGAACAGTGTTCACTTTGCATACACACATAATATATATATATAATATGTCTATTGTGCCAACATACGTGATTAAATAACAAAGGCTTAAAGGAAACCAAGTCATGTAATATCTTTGTTGTTCCTCAGGCACTCATGAGTGAACTGAACACCATCTGAACACTATCAGAAACAAAGTGGAAAAGCAAACTGACACGTCCCATCATGTCCCATCTTTACACCAACACTTGTCCCATCCTGCTCCAAGATCCTCCCCAAAGAAGTGATTCCCCCCCCCCCCCCCCCACATGCTTCCCATTTCCCTACCTCCACTTGCGCTCCACGCAACGAACCTCAAAGGCCCCGCCACCGGACGCGCCGGTGGTGGCGCCGGTGGTGCCCGGGCGCAACTCGCTCAGCCGCGGCGTGTTGGCCGGGAGCTGCGGGAGCTGGTCGGCCGAGCGGGAGATGAACTGCCGCAGCAGGGTGGGCTCCGACATGCGCCGGGGCTCGGCGATGCCTTGGTTTTACAGGGGGGTGACAGGTGTGAGGTGAGGCGATCCAGTTTCGAACTCCAATTGCGATGGCCTCCAAGCTGGAAGCAATGTATCATGATCCAGTTTCTTTGAAAGGATTTCAAAGGGGTGCCAAACTTGGACTCAACACCACCCCGACATGTGACTCCTGGATACAGAGATTCATGAGAAAAAAGCCATAGGATGGCATGATGGTATGATGGTATAGGGGAGGGGAAAGGACCTGGTGGGACAAGTGGGAGATGTGAGGATTTTCTGGACCTCAATGATTCGCAAATCTTCAAACCTCGCTGCGAGAAACTGGTGGAACGACCAGAAAAAGAAAACACGTGTTCACATACGTGTGTTTATTGTCTTCATTTACAGTCTTCTCCGTAAAACAAGTAGATAATAAAAAGTATATGCTTTTGTAAAACAATGTAAACACATGATTAAATACGTGTATGTTTACAGTACTTATTCATGTGATTTTTGTGGCACAATCGGAGCACCATCGGACTCTTCAGAGCCTAGAGGCAGCTTCTTTCGCAAAAAAACGGCTCAGGACCAGACTGGGATGAGGATCACGTTGCACGTGTTAAGAGCATGTGCTCCAACCTCCCGCCAGTCCCCTTCCAACCAGGTGCCACCTGACTGAACCGTACCAAGGTACGAAGCACAGGGCTGTTGAGAGGGCTAAGGCTCACAGCACTGGGGCTTAAAGCCATCGAACGTGGTGTTGGCACCTTGGATTGGCAGTGCCTTCGTCTCGTCTCAGCTGGACCGTGCCGTTGGCACCGTCGTCCACTTCGTCCACTTCGTGGAGCTTCGCGACTCCGGGGGAACCCGGGTACTGACCAATCCTCATGCTTCGATCCTACGAGGGCACTGCAAGATCAGTATCATCCTGCCTGTGATTTTTCTGTAATCAGTAGTGAACCCAAGATCCTCATGTTTCCCGCCTGTGCTGCGTCCACGCATCGACCTACCCCGGCAGCCCTGTTCTCAGAAAACTTCCCCTTCAGCGCGGGATTGGGTGGTGATGTCAAATGATTTCAACCTTTATAATGTAGAAACTCATGTAGAATGTAGACTCGTCTTGATATCTCTTGGTTAACAAACAATCACAATTGGATTGTAACCTATACCCAAACACTCCATGGGACTGCCATATATGCCGATCAGGCCAGGGGTGGTTTTGGGGGTCAATGGGGCGGCATATTATATGGCAGTCCCATGGAGTGCCTGGGATATGTAAAGCCCCTTCATACCGGAGTCGATCGACAAACATCAACGCGTCCGCTACCGTCTCCACACCACGGCGCCGGACTGCCGCTCGGACTCACCGAGAAGGACCAGCGCCGCGGCGTGGCGTTGGCGTTCGCCGGCATCGGCGCCGCGGGCGCCGCGCGGGGTGTGGTGTTGGGCGAAGTGGGCGCAGCCGGGGTGAGCTTCGCGAGAGGGGAGTCCTTGGGGCGGCCACTTGTAGAGTGGAAGAGGCCAATCAAAGCATGTTGAAGGACAATTGAACATTATGTAGCATCATGTAGCATCTACTATGCAAACATGATTGGAAAAGAGGCATGTGTCAAATTGTTTGCGAAGAATCCAGAGAAGAACAGCACGTTAACTTCCTGGTCTTTTGTCCGGGAGTCAGGATCCACCGGGGCCACGATGTTGATGGTCACGCCTTTCTGGAGCACGTAGCCTGTGCAGCGGTATTTGGGCAGCGAGCTTTAACGAACATGGCCGATGGTCTCAGGTGGAACTTCATTGACTACTTGCATATTCCATGTAACATACAATATATGACGGCACGAATCCGAACCAGATTTTACCGACGTCTTACCCGATCGGAAGCTGATCGATCGGCCCGACCGGGTGTGTAAAGGTGTATGTTTAAGCCAGCGTTTGCATCGCCTTTGGCCCCCAAAGATGTCATGTATATTCAAATCAGTGGCAAAATCCTACTCGTTCGAAGGTCCACCATCCTTCAAAGCCAGTTGCAGCTGTTGGGAGGCTTGCGCGAACATGCGCGAACAGCTTGGGCCTTTAGGAGGCTTGCAGCTTGGCGAGAGCTCGCGGTTGGATTCCAGGAGATTCGGGACATTGCTCACATTCATCTCGATCCAAAGGGCCTCGAACTCGTGAACACTTCATCTCACTGTCGAAGAAAACCTCCAAACAAAGTCCCCACTTCACCGCACAAACAAAAGGGCGAAATGGCCAGGTTGAGCCTCAACATGTGAGTCCCTAGAGATCCAAGTGCCTTGTCAGAAGGCACTTGGACCCTCCAAAGCCACCCCAGTCCCACCTTCTGAGAAGGTACTTGGATCCCTAGGGAGTGGATCAAGGGCCAACCACATGGCAACTTTCGGACTTTCGACTGCAAGAATTGGAGACACCACTCTAGACACATTGAACGAACGTAACAGCGCAGTCAGTGGGAGCTGTACCAGATACGCTTGATTTGGACGTGCGTAGGGAACCGGGTATGAAAAATACTGTATATCATAATGTTATAATTAATATCGACTCTTGATTCTTGATTCATAACCTGCCATAGGAAGAGGTTGTTCAATCCAATTGGAGTGGGTTTATGAATCAAGAGTCTACAGTATCCCCCGAGCCGAAGGGGCTTCACACCTTGTTCGCAATTGCCCAGGTTGTCTGTTCCAGTTCGCGGCGCGAACCGGAATGATTTTGAACTCGGGTGACCAAACTGGTCGTCATGACTTGAACATGGACCGAAAACCCCATGGCTAACTGCAGACGAGTCGGCGGCTCGCAGCCCAGCCAGTCGATCCTTGTAAATCGCAGTGCCCTTTAGTCGATTGAGCAAATACAGCTGCAGTGCAGGACATCCAAGGTCAGTTCTGCCAAATATTAGTGGCATATCCACATGAATCACTGGAGAGAGCCATGCCAAGTGTGCTCATCTCTTCCTCGATTCACTTCTTCTGTCTTCTGCTTCTTCTTTGACACCCCAGCATGGAACCTAGGAATAGGAGGAGAAAGGGTGAGGTTCCTCGCGGAAAAATTAAAGGACCGGATAACCCCACATGTATAGTTTTCTCAAGTCTGTATATACCTGCATCTTCTAAAAGACTGTAATTATTGCCTTTTCCTGGAAATTCGGGCTGAAAAAGCAGCCTGAAACCATTCGGGCAGAAATAAAAGACTTCGGAACATCTAGGTATTATGTAATAGCACAAAAACATGTCTGTGAAGGTCACGTGTTCGGTCAATTTTTTCCTGCGCAAAGCAAGTTATGTGGTCAGCATGTCGTGACATCAGGATGAACCGGAACAGTCCCAGTATAGAGATCGAAGTTGCGCGCATGTCCTTTTGTGGTTGAGGTCCGTTTTGATCGTGGTGTGGCGGGGCCGCGTTCTCTGTAGAACGGCCGGAGAGGGAGTCAGAGTCCGGCGATGGGGGCGACCGGAGGCGACAATCGTGGCAAGAGCTACAGCAGACCCTCCGAAAGACTGCCAATCACAGTGTCAGGGACTGTGTGATATTGACTGTGTGATGTTGAGAGGTGTGATGTTGAGTGTGTGATGTTGGGAAATGTGGGGAATACCATTAGTTACATGACCTTTGAGTTACGTGTCCCCCCCAAAAAAGGATGTTTTTTTTATCAACGTAACTCAAAGGTCATATATCAATGTGTTCTTTTCTGCGAGCCTCACCCTTTCTCCTCCTATTCCTGTGTTTAAACATTTAGGAACAAATCATTAGTGCGAGCGCTTCTTCAAGGAAGCGTGAGCTATTCTGCGTCCTACCTAGGAGCTTCCTATTGCTAATGGCAAATTTCTCCCTTGTCTAATTAACTAAGTCAGGGCGGGTTTAAAAAAAAACACAGCAGAGCGAGTCTTCCCAAGTCTTCCATGTGACATCTACATCATCTACAGCCTCCACATCTTCGTCGTCTGCGCCCCTTCCCATTCTGCGCTCCAGGCGAACAGTTTCGAGCTCGGCGATGCTTGGGCCTTGCCGGCGCTGACTGACTGCGTGACTGACTGCGTGACTGACTGCATTGGAGTGGACTGGTGACATTTGATCCAACTGGAGTGCGCGGGAAAATAAATGGAATCATTTCGATCTAAGTAGCGCAACATGGCAGAGGCGGTGCCCATGTTGTGCACCCTTGATCCATCTTGATCTCCACGGGGTGATTATAAATGGACAGCCCGTCATAAAGAAATCCTTGAGTGGGTGTCGGTGGCTTCCCACATAGGTAAGCTCAACAAATAGGCAGTCTGCAGTCAGCAAGTCCAGCCCAGTTGAGCACCGATTCCAGCAAGTGTTAATGTTTTGCAGCCACAACCACGAATCGCAGATTTAAGCACGTTGCAGGGAAGTTGTGGTTCTGAGGTTCCTTCCAAAAACTTCATCCATGGATTCCATAAAATCCCAGACCTGTCTCCCCAAAACATACCACTGAAGTCCACAGTTCTAGCCATGTCATCCAGTTCTTCAACTTCCATCGTTCAGCAGGTTGATGTCTCCACAGCACCTCTCAGTCTTATCTATGATTTGTTGTTTTTTCTGGTGTTTAAACCCATCGTTTTACCATGAATCAGCCATTTGCTTGCTCCAACGGGACCACTGCGCACCGGACCCCACCGGACGGTGGTGGACCCGACCTCCGGGGCCACCGGGGCGCCGGGCCGGAAGAACGAAGCAACGGCCTCGGGACGTGCCGAAACGTCGGACTTCGTCGCCCACTGGGACGATCTGAAGGATCTGAAGGATATGGACGGGTGAGACCACCATGACTACAGAAATACCATCGTGGCCTTGGTTTGTGGCCTAAAGGAGAGGCAGGATGTCTGAAAATCCGTCAGACCCACGGTCAAATGTAGCGAGGACCAAAACATTAAAGATCCTCCTGCAATTCGCTGCATGATTGTGGGATTGGCTATTTTGGGAGTGTCATCATTTCTAGAGTGAAACCCATCTCCTTTTCATGCAACCTGCAAGTATGGTTCTGTGATATTCATCTGCAAGTATACCATCCCTCCTTCATTCACAGCTGTAGATGTATATCATCTACAGTGGTCCCCAATAGATCGTGGCACGGTGTCCAATACATTTTGAGTGGGGATCTACTTTTCTATCTATCTGGGGGTCTATATAAGTCTGTTGGATGGTGATGTTCTTCTCCACTCACGGGCCAACACCGGTGGCCAACACCGGTGCCCTGAGCAGAAACGCTGAGATGGCTGCTGAGGAAGTCCACGAAGTCCACCCGGCCTGAACCACCGGGGAAAACCCCGTCCTCTTGGGCTGCACACCATGCGTCAACGCCAATTGGTGCAGACCCAAAAGAGCCAAGAAGATGTCCTAAAGGCGAAAAACTGAAACTGTTTGCAATACTCTAACCAACCTTGCCGTCAAGTCCCTCCGCCGTCCCTCCCATGGTCAAATATGGTCAAGTCAAATCCAGGGCAAAGTCCCTGCAATCGGCTGTCAATCCCGCCTCCCGTCTGCCAGAACTTGCCTTGGGCTGCGCAAGCAGTCAGCTTTGCTTGCTTTTGCGTTGGGCTTCCACTTGCAGGGTGGAGATCCCTCAAACTGCATCAACTCAACAGGATACTATATCATAATATATATATATAGAGAGAGAGAGACTATGTCCATCACAGCCAAACCAAACAAGAACGTACTGTGTCATTACTGCTTCAGCCGATGTTCTTGTGTCGTCCGGTTCAAGAGCTTCAATCAAAACAAGTCGTCCTCCCCAGCGTGGTGGTTTGCCTTGTCTCTTTCCCTTCACCGCAGAGTCGGCTCCATGACGGGCGTATACGGGCGTTCTGACCGCTTGATGAGGATTCTGACCGCTTGGGCGCCCAGAAAAGGTCTGTTGCCATTCGATTCTTTAGGTGTGCATCTGTTCGAGCCTCGTAAGGGTGCAGCTCCTACCTTCTCCAAACGCCATTGAAGCAGCAATCTGTTGTGCTTTTTTTGGGGGGGGTCGTTTGATCTCAGCTAACACCCGCAACCTCTCTGCCAGGTCGCGCAAGAGATCAAGTTCCAGTTCTTCTTCTCGCCTCAAGGGGGGGGTGCCGAACTTGGAGGATAGGGGTCCCCAACCAACCCACTCACTGGATGGGACGATGCACCCACCACCCAACTCCATGTGACTCCTGGTATAGAACATTATTGAATCAAGCTGGAGAACAGGGTCTTGTTTCACTGGACAGCCAGCCTGCCACGGACCTGTGTTTCCCGCATATCATCTCCTTGAATCTTCTACATGACTCCAGTCTTGCAGTTCTGAAACCCCATCTTCCAAGCGCCGCAACGGAACATCTCTTTTCATCTCTTTTCGAAGCATCCGTGCCAAAACGCAGGAGCACGCCGCTGGACACTGTCCGAATTGCCCGAACGCAGGTTCGCGCGAGACCAAGAATGAGCGACCGGCAGGGTGCTCTACCCCACCAAAGGTTCATCGGCTCTGGCTCAAACATGCTCTTTTGTTAGTCTTCTGAACCTGGTCTCGTTTCAACACACATTCGTTTTCTAACACCCTGTCGCTAAGTTGCACTGGCACTTGATTGCAGGTGTGTGTGGTCTGTCTATATAGAGATCTATAAAGTTTACAATGAAAGTGTTTCATTTTGCATTTGAGCCACAGCCAGGGAGGATCTACCACCAAATGCAGGATGTTCTTCCTCTTGCATATTCACCAAAGACCTTTTGGGTCTTCTCCATCCTTTCTTTTTTCTCTCGGGCAAAGCAAAAGCAGCCGAAGGAGCCGGGCCAAAAACAACATCGCCACATCACATGTGACCAGCCTTGATTTAGATTTCTACTATACCTTGGTAAATCCCATTCCCTGTCTAGTAAAAGCCTTTCCCATAGTGATTATTCTGTCTACCGCCTGTTGCAGGTCTAGGTAATGGGACACCACCTAATTATACTCGTGTATCCACGCCCCAACAAACAAGTTCGAGGTTTGATGGGAAATTCACATTGATCGACACATCTTCTTTGCTTCCGCGCTATGCCCGAGAACGACCTCAAAACAGGTCCCGAGAACGATTCACAATTCCGACCGACAGGCCATGCATTTCGACGCTGGCATCACCATTTTGTGCGCCTTCTCCACCGCGTCGCCGCGTGGGAAAAACCGGCGGCGACTTTTGAATCGGATGTCACTCTGAGCGAACCGAACATCAAAGCTCTCTGAGCGCCGAGGTGTCCAAGCCAAGCCAGGTATCCAACGATGTCAGGATCCGGGATGATCAGGGGGATAATTACTGCACATGTTTCTCATACTGGCCGTAGCCTTCTACCTTTCGCCTTGCTGGGTTCGATCGGTCAGTGTTCTCTCCTTTCCCAAGGACACCGTCTAAGGAACCCAGAAATGGCAGAAAGGCGCTATTGCATTTCCGCCTCTGGAGGCGGTTCTCTCTTCTGGTGCCGCCACCACAGCAGCGCTGAACTCGCACGTGAGACCAAAGCCTGGCGGCGCAGGGCATGGGTTTTCGTGACGTGTCGTGACTCTTTTTGAGTTCAAAAAGGGTCAAGGGGAAACATGAATGAGGGCACAAATTTAGGGTTTAGATTTCCTTATTGAGGGTTCAAGTAGGAATCTGGTTTGTGAAATTGTCTTGGTCGTGTTTCAACAACATGCACGAAAAAACACAAGTAGGGTGGCCGCGAACTTGTCACTCGTCGGCGCCGCTCTCTTTCTCACCGGATAACCACTTGCACTGAGAGAGTAATAAACAAACACCTTTGATGAAAACACAAGAACAGGCGTAGTCTTTTGTAGGAACAATGTCTGGCGGGGAAACATCAAAGAACAAAAACACATACCTGGACCTTCCAACTACAAACAAATATGGTTGTTTTGGCTATTGACCGCAAATTAGCACAAAACGTACGCAAAAAGCCAGCAAACGACCGCAAAAACATTAACATAAAAATATAATATGAACACATAATAGGCCGGAATCTGTGGCGATGTGTAATATGTTGGTGTGCGTTGAAATAGGGAAAAATAGACCAGTCTAACCCTGGGCCAGGAGGTCCGCCTATTTAAAGAAAAACATGTTTGTGTTAAAATCGGATGCCTGGTGACTTGCGATGTGGAAAAACCGTAATTAGTCAAATAATCAATTAGGGATGTCTCTTTGAAAACTTTGCCTTGGAACCCATACTTGAGCTTCGGAGCATACAAGTTCCTAGCCCTGTCAACATTAACTTGCTGTTGCTGGTGCCGAACCGTCTTCACTTTCTTTTTCAGAAGTTTCTTGGGGAAATATCAACTTTGCCTAAAGAGCTTTGGGGCCTGGGTGTGTGTGTGTGTGTGTCCACATTAGCAGGGGACCAGGCAGGATACATCGTCGCCTGGTCAAGGAAATGGGACGCCATTTCCACGTACCTGCACGATTTTAAACCTTCTTTAAAGGGCTAGCGCACTTTTGTTAAACCTTCTGTTGAGCCGACCCAGCACTTCCTGCAGTTGATTCAAGTCAAGGTCTGATTGCGTGTAAAGGTCTACCTGCAGTAAAGTGGGGCTTCGTCAACTGATACTGCTCTTGCGAGCCTTTCTCTAAGTGTGTCTCGCCACAGAGTCCCACTGGGCTGTGGTGTGATCCCCTGCAAGGGGCGCAGCATATGCACATACAATTATGGGTGAATTTCCACTGGTTTCTCGGCCTGCTCGTGAACTTCTTCGGCTCTAGCGTTCTGCTCGAGATTGCTGATCATATGCCGCAGGGCTCATTGAAACTTCTTCCAAAGAATGACATACCATGCTCTAGGACCTACTTTGCGTCAGGGATCTTGTTCTGGGCCTTCTCCAGCAATCTTGTTGTCGAACCACTGGAGTCACCCCAAATGTCCTGCTCAGGCATCTCGAACCCTGGTCAGCAGGCCAACCACGCCAGCTTTGCTCTGACCAACCCCGCCAACCATACCATGAGCTCGAGCTGGATGAAATCCATGGTGAAGCCCATCGTGAATCTCCATGTTGTTGGCCCATGAGTCGCTTGGCCAAATTTCGTTCTGGCGCTAGTTCAAGTTGTGGCGCTTTGTCGCTCCCAAGCCAGGTGTCCTTTCCTTCGGTGGTGCAGGAGGCTAACACAAGCCCATAGCTGCCCGTCGGTCAGCGGCAGCTGCACGCTCAGGCGTCTTCGGGGAAGGCACTTCCTCTTTTGAATGATCTTGATCAGTAGCTGCTCCATCTCCACGTACCTGCAAAAATTTAGACCTCCTTTAAAGGGCTAGTGCACTTTTGTTAAACCTTCTATTGAGCCGACCCAGCACTTCCTGCAGTTGATTCAAGTCAAGGTCTAATTGCGTGTAAAGGTCTACCTGCAGTAAAGTGGGACTTCGTCAACTGATACTGCTCTTGCGAGCCTTTATCTAAGTGTGGGTGTGACATGGATGATGATCTGCAGGTCTGAGAAAATATGATGATCTATCCAACCAAACTTCTTCCTTCCAAACCATTCCAAACCCACCAAAAGAAGCCTCCCAGCTCTGGTTGAACCCTCCCACCTCTGGTTGATCAAGTCCATGAAGCCCCAAGCATTTCATCGCACCCAAGCGTTTGGAGCGTCCATCGCAGCCAGGTGCCAAAGGGCCCTGGGCTCCCAGGGCCAGCTGCTGGTGCTCCTGGCTCCCGAGTTTGCTCCGTTCGTAGCGTCCGATCGCTCCTAGTAGTAAGGCCAGGAGCCCCTAGTAGTAAGGCCAGGAGCCCCTAGTAGCGTCCTAGTTGGCTGAATTCAAATTTCTAATGTTAATTGCCAAGAATTACAGTAAAACTGTCGATTCTATATACATGTTGCTTTTTGTCTCAGCTTTTTCGTCAGTCCAGTCTGAGTCTCTCTCCCATAAAGGGTGTCTTTGTAGTGCTTGATTGAAGAACACCCTCTGACCGCGGCCCGGCGAGCTCGCCGTCTCGCCTTAGCGCAGCCTGGTGCTTGTGTCCGTCGTGAGGTGTCCCGGTTTGGTGTTGGTGCTGTGGTGGTGTCATGGCATCAGAGAACTAACGGGGAACCGCTTAGTTGAGAGAACATGGACTGAATGAACTGGGGAGGTAGCTTCTACTAGGGGAGAACGGCATGGGCTCTGGGTGCCACCCACAGGGCTGCAAGCAGAGGCTCTGCAAACATGGCAGTGGACTCTACTTTTTGCGAAGTTGGCGACAGGTTCTCCTTTGGTTGGTGGGCTAAGCTGGAGATGTTAACCTTTCGTCGTTAATGGCAGCTCCTTGCAGGAAATTGATTACCCAGAGTGAGCCCCCTCCTGTAAGTTAAGGCCATCTCACCAGTATTGAACCAACGACTCCTGCGGAAATCCACTCAGCATCTCAGGTGCGAGGTGCAGCCAGCAGCTAGGCCTCGAAATGGCCCAATAAATAAAGGGGGAATGACACTAACATGATTCAATACCAATATATAAACCCTGACAGTCCAAGAGGCCACCAGCGTTTGTTTGCCTCATTCCCTCTTGCTACCATGTCCAGCTTCTTTAGTGTCATGTCCAGCTTCTTGATGCCATCATGCGTTCCATGCGCATCGTTCTGCTGCTGCAGCACGATGGTTCATTCAGAATCTGCAGAGTGGACAAGCCATCGCCACATCAAGCCATTGATCAGATCATGTAAGTAACATCACATCCACCATCATCCACCTGATCCCATCCAATCACCCCGCTCCGCCAAAACGATCCGTCCCCGTCATCCGTCTTAATTTCACGCGATCCACGGTCTGATCGGTCTCCTGGTGTCCACCCCAAAGCCATTTGAAGTAGCGCTTGGGGCGCCAACCTGGTGAAGATTGCGCGGACATGCGTGGACCCAACTGCCAAGGTCGAACACACATGCTCAGCGTCTGCCTGGGGAGGCAGGAGCCTCGGCTTTTGGATGGGGTTTGTTTTTGCTGCTGCTTTGGGAGGTCGGATTCCAAGGGCCCTAGGAATAAAGGCGTTTTCTTTTGGAGACTCACTCAAAAAATGGACTGAGATGATTCAGCAAAACTTGATGAGAAAGAAAGGATCAGGTCCTTGCGATCGCACCAGTGCTTGCCTTGCCGATCAAGTGCTTTCCAAAGGCATGTCGTGTCGATGACCTATTACGTGGTTACTTGGTGTCGGCAGGAACCGATCCACCCATGATGTTGATTGCTGGAACTCTATTGACAATCACACTATATGATCAAACATCTCCCATACTATGGGGGGCTTGTAATTATTCATCAACAGTCGACATGATGTAGACTCTTGATTGCTAAACCCCCATATGAAGAGGAATTCCAATGCAATTGAGGAGCTGGGTAATTTGCAAATCAAGAGTCTACATAACATGTGACATGAATGATTCATGTTGTTATTTGGACCAGAATTACCCAACGCCATTCACAGCTACAGGCCAAGAGCCAACCCCGGTGCCCTGAGCAGTGCGCGATATTCATCCCATTTGGCCGGCTTCGTGGTGCCTTTCGGCCCCTGCGGTTCCGGCCTGGTGGATAGCAGGTTCTGCCCCTGCGGTTCCAACAGGTCTCTTCATCCAGGTCAAGCCAGATCAGGCATTGGAGCATCTGACTCACTGCTTTCTCCCAGAAGAGACCCCCGCCTCAGGCGTGTCGTTTGGGTTTGAGCGCCACACAAATCGGCGCCGTAGAGAGTCCGTGTCGAAGGGTGGAGGCAAAGGACAAAGAACACACCACACCGACACCGGCCGACACCCTCCAGCACCTGGGTTCTGGGTTCATCAAACCGCGCAGGGCCGAGCGCAGGTTTCTGGCCATGAAGAAGTCCTACATGAAAAATTTCTGGCATCATCATTTGAAGGAGGTCCAATGAGGACTTGTGGACCCCTCAGCACCCCTCAGGATTTGCTTCGCAGTCTCATGCCCTCCAAACCAAACGGCCAGGTCCACGACGGAGGTCCGAATTTCTTGGACAGACCAAGTCCAGCTAGAGCAGCATACAACTCATTAACATGGAAGTGGATGGCATGGTCCCTTAAAAGACTACTTTCCTTTATGAACAGGGGGTTTCCCACTTCCATGTGATGTGTTCGTCGGAGTGTTTCTTTTGTGGAAATATGTTGCAAATGTCAAGATTGATCCTCCGTTGCCCTTCTTTTTTATGGAGATGGTCTGTGCGTTTCAGAGTCCACCTCTGCATGCCAAGCAGCCCTCAACCAGGACGATGGAAGTCTCCGTTTCAGCCGCGTTGACCACAGCCTGGCATGTCAAAAACCAGAGGAACACTTAATAATTCTCCACCAAACCATTTTTTGCCATTTGCGTACGCCGAAGGTCGATGCCCGTGGCCGCAGTGCCGCAGTGCGGAACTGCTGCTAGATTCATCTTCGAGTCCTCTCAACCAAACCAAAGACATACATGTGAACACGTGAAAGGCCAGCTTCCCCAACAAAAATTGATGTGACAAGCAAGTCTCCCGTTGGAGACATACAGGCATGTCGACTGACTTGGGGCCCAGGAACCAGAAAAGGATTGACAAGCCACGCTGGCTCATTCAGTGGTTCAAACCGAAGACCACCTATCAGATATATCATATAGCCCCAAGACCTCAAGGACCCTTAAAGGTGAGGCTCCAAAACCTGAAACGGCGGCGCTAGGTCTGATGCTCAGGGAGTTCTTGGAAAATCGCACCTCTCCCGGAAGGAAGAAGGAAAACACGTGAAGCAGCAAGTAGATGGTGTAAATGAGTCAATGAGCATGTTCGACAGCCCATCGCTAGTGCAACGAAGCTCTACCACAGAGCTTCGAGGGCTTGTTGGAGAATTCATGAGAATTCACTTCAGTGCTGTCCTCGACTTCCTGTGCTTCATGTGTTCATCAAAGCCGCCCCAACACCGGTCCTCGACGTCCTCGACGTCAGCTCCACCGGTCCGACCCACAGTCCGTCACGACGACTCCGTCGCCCCACCTGCTGCAGGGCCTGCCAGTCCGTGGCGTCCGGAGACTCCCAATAGCCCAACCAGCGTCCATTCTCCCACCTGAACCGTGTGGATCCGTGATCCGTGTGGAGGATCGGATCTGACCGGTGTGACCAGGCTGGGGAGGTGATGATTGAACATGATTGAAGATGGTTTCGTGTTCCATTCCACGGAACTGTTTGAAGGGCTCAAAGGGATCCAAAGGGCCATGTCTTCGTTGCGGGGGTCCCAACAGCCCGTCACGTGGACGGACGTGCGAGCGAACGGAACATGGCACACTTTGAACCATTTCGTGGCGGGTGGAGGCGGCAGTGGGATCGTCAAACGAATTTACACTCCCGAAAACGAACATAGACCCTGACAATAGTCGCATGGAAGACTATTTTCCTCTACCAACCAGGGTTTCAGGTTCCATGATGTTCCATGTTAGTCTTCCAGGGTGTAAGTTGATGCGATGATCAAACCATTCAGGACATGTTTCCTGATTGAACATGATCCAAACCTTCGTCTGCGGTACTTTCTTTCGCGGCGGGGTCGGGTTTCTCTCACAAACTAAAGCAGTTGGCCAAAACTAGAAAAGACACCCATCCTGAATATTCCACAGGCACCATTCTTTGGGGTTGTGCCACGACCATCGAGTCTTTCAAACCATCGTCCTCGAACCCCCACCTATGCCACCTACTATTGGTGAAGAATAGAAACTGAAATGGTCAAAAACCCCACACACCGGAAATGGCGCTACTTCTTCCACTTTCCACCTTCTCATCCCCATTCTTACGGAAAGCGATTGCTTTCCGTCCACGGTCTTCTCCAAGAAACCACCAACTGTTCTTCCCAGCGGAATCTCCCAGATGGAACTGCTGTTGTGAGATGAGTATACCTCAAGATCGGACACACTTTGGCAGGCTGGGTGTCCATGCTGCTTTTGCTGGGTGTCGAAGGGACAGCCAGCCATTCCAACTGTTGAAGAACCTGTTGTATCCTGTTGTATCACCTGAAGTATGGGTGGTCCACTGCTCCACCAAAAGACCTTTGTCACTTTTGAGGAGAGAAGAGTATTCCCACGATGGCGTTCAATTCTTCTTTCATCATGATGGTGTTCAATAACTTTGATCTCAATGATCTCAATGTTTCTCATAGCCCATACTTGGAAACTTTGGAGCTTGTTGGACGGGGACCCCCTAATCCTGACATCACACGGAGTCAACAAGACACGAGTATAGCACTGTTAACCACAACCCCCCATGACATACCACCCCCCCTTCCAGTCATAGTTCCCATCGATGGATGGTGGTTTGTTGATGTGCAATCATTGGAAGTGTTGTTTAGGTTCAAGTGCAGTCATCGCATCGAACCTACGGAGGTGGGAGGTGGCGCCTTCACTCACGTTGCTTGCAGAGGCGCAGGGGAAGTTCTGGTCACTCCTTGGATCAGGTTCGTGTCGTTTCGTTTGTAATAAACGTCTGACAATTAATTGAACAAACAGGTCACAAACCTGTCATGTCACTTCTTACACCCGTAGACTGTAGACCATGACACGTCTCTGTAGACCTCGTTGACTCAACATATCATTTTCTTGAACTGTTTCGAGGTGCTGCACAAAAACTTATTCTTAATCATCACAGGACTTCATCCACTGAAGGACATCTGCGCCAGTTTCTGGAAAGAAACGCCACAACCTCATGTCATGGTTAACCCCAAAACACACCTACTACCCCACAAAAAAAACAAACAAAACCACGGGTTTTCCGGTCTCAAGGGGTGAAAAACCTCCCAGTGAGTTGCATGGTCAGCCTGTGGGAGCCTCTGGTGCTCATCTTCTTCAGTCCTTTGGGTTCATCAAGAAGTGGAGAGCTTGATCTGGCCAAACATGGGGCGATCTGCAACCTGAACCGGCCAAACATGGCCGGTAAAAGGAACGCCGGCCACCAGGGAAACGGGCCTTGTGCAATGCAACGCCTACGATTTTTATCTCAGACACATCGCACTATACATCTATACTAAACTCTATCAATGTGGGTTTTCGCATGACTCCCCATCGAATAACTAGTCTGATGATGTCTGATGCATCCCCTCCAAGTCAGATCAGCCACCTGTCCTGCCGGGTGTCAAGGCTTTCTGAAGCTGAGCACCTAAGAGGCTCTTCCCACTCGAAGGGGCTCCTGAGATGCCCACCACGAGACCCAGCAGGCTCGGCGCCTGCGAAGCGGGTATTGGTACGAGGGTGGTTCGTGGTTGAGAGGGTTGGATGGGAAACACTCATCAAGTGGCTATTTTGCTTAAGGCTTCTTGGCTTCATGGATGATGTAGTTAGCACAGCCAAATGACAGAATGTAATGCATATATGACTGCACGGCATAAACATATGCAGAACTGCTGATCTTCCAAACATCGAAAAGACACTTCATTGACGCATAAGTCGTTCTTGGGACGCCTTCTTGGAAATCATGGAATTTCCATGGGGTCAATAGGAAGAAACACCCAATCCTGATACATACATGTTGGGAGCTTTCTGGGCTTCTTTAATGGTGAGCTTGACAGAACAGGT